CGGGACCAGACACTACAATACCGGGACCAGACATTACAATCACGGGACCAGACACTACAATACCGGGACCAGACATTATTATCACCGGACCAGACACTAAAATACCGGGACCAGACATAATTATCACGGGACCAGACACTACAATACCGGGACCAGACAGAACAATACCGGGACCAGACATTAAAATCACGGGACCAGACACTACAATACCGGGACCAGACAAAATTATCACGGGACCAGACACTACAATCCCGGGACCAGACACTACAATACCGGGACTAGACATTTCAATACCGGGACCAGACATTACAATACCGGGACCAGACACTACAATAACGGGACCAAACACAACACCGGGACCAGACACTACAATACCGGGACCAGACACTACAATAACGGGACCAAACACAACACCGGGACCAGACACTATAATACCGGAACCAGACACTACAATACCGGAACCAGACACTACAATACCGGGACCCCACAACAACACCGGGACCAGACACAACACCGGGACCAGACACTACAATATCGGGACCAGACACTACAATATACCGGACACTTAAATACTCGTACCGACAATCCAATACCGTTGCCGAACACACAAATTCTATAATTATATTTTAATATCCCTATTTGTTGTTTAAGCATTAAATTTACTTATTGACTACAAGAGTGATACCTCTTGAATATAAATGTTCGTTTGATACTGCTGTCACCATAATAGCATACCATGTAAATTAATTTCTTATCTTGTAAACAAAACAACAATGAGAAATTGAATATAATGTTTAATGCGGAAATAATGCCAAAAAACAATTTGAGAGGCGCTTTGCAAAAAGCATTTTAGAGCCACCGTATTCTGCTATTAACTAATAAGTAAACAGCAAATTAAACCCAGCATACGACGACTAGGTACAAAAGTCGTACTGAACAAGGTGAACTGGTACAGAATTGCGTGACTTCACATACACGTTCTCAGACATCAAAAGAAAAACACACATCTTAGACACAAACAAACTGACAGGCCAAATTAAGTTATTTCCGCTGTGCATCTCTAGAACTAACCTTTTTTGATTTGATAAAAGCAAACAATTGAACAAGTTTTGTGGACATTTTTATGAAATAGAGATCCGTTCACGCCGGATTACATTTGTTAAATGGTTCTGTGCACGTACCGATAAATTGTGCAGCAGACATGGGTATGTCTCACCTCCCATCCGAGGTATTCTGCACCAAAGTAGCAATATCAATCAGGTAATTAACTAAATTATTTAGAATATCTTTGTTAAATATCACTTGGCAGGCATAAACCGTCGGCGGACAAATGCATCAAAACATCAAGGTCGGTTACATGCTGTTCGATAGATAAGTCTGGGAGAACAAAATATTTATCGAATGACAGATTTAATTCCAGAATGCAGATTAGGGAACAAATACATTTGTATCTGCAATCTCTTATTTTCTATCACTTGATTACAACCTTTCATTAAAATCATCGCTGAAATATATCACTGACATTGTCTCTGCAATATATCACCGACATTGTCACTGTAATATATCACCGACATTGTTACTGTAATATATCACTGATATTGTCTCTGTAATATATCACTGACATTGTCTCTGTAATATATCACTGACAATGTCTCTGTAATATATCACTGACATTGTCACTGCAATATATCACTAATATTGTCCCTGTAATATATCATTGACATTGTCTCTGTAATATATCACTGTCATTGTCTCTGTAATATATCACTGATATTGTCTCTGTAATATATCACTGACATTGTCTCTGTAATATATCACTAACATTGTCACTGTAATATATCACTGACATTGTCGCTGTAATATATCACTGCCATTGTCTCTGTAATATATCACTGATATTGTCGCTATAATATATCACTGACATTGTTTCTGTAATATATCACTGACATTGTGTCTATAATATATCACTGACATTGTCGCTGTAATATATCACTGACATTGTCTATGTAATATATCACTGACATTGTCTCTGTAATACATCACTTACATTGTCACTGTAATATATCACTGACATTGTCGCTGTAATATATCACTGCCATTGTCTCTGTAATATATCACTGATATTGTCGCTATAATATATCACTGACATTGTTTCTGTAATATATCACTGACATTGAGTCTATAATATATCACTGACATTGTCGCTGTAATATAGCACTGTCATTGTCTCTGTAATATATCACTGATATTGTCTGTGTAATATATCACTGACGTTGTCTCTGTAATATATCACTGACATTGTCTCTGTATTATATCACTGACTTTGTCTCTGTAATACATCACTGACATTGTCTTTGTAATATATCACTGACATTGTCACTGTAATATATCACTGACATTGTCTCTGCAATATATCACTGACATTGTCACTGTAATATATCACTGACATTGTCTCTGTAATATATCACTGACATTGTCTCTGTAATATATCACCGACATTGTCTCTGTAATATATAACTAACATTGTCACTGTAATATATCACTGACATTGTCTCTGTAATATATCACTGACATTGTCTCTGTAATATATCACTGACATTGTCTATATAATATATCACTGACATTGTCTCTGTAATACATCACTGACATTGTTACTGTAATATATCACTTTCATTGTCTCTGTAATATATCACTGACATTGTCACTGTAATATATCACTGACATTGTCTCTGTAATACATCACTGACACTGTTACTGTAATATATCACTTTCTTTGTCTCTGTAATATATCAATGACATTGTCTCTGTAATTTATCACTGACATTGTCTCTCAATATATCACTGGCATTGTCTCTGTAGTGCATCACTGACATTGTGTCTGTAATATATCACTGCCATTGTATCTGTAATACATCACTGACATTGTCACTGTAAGATATCACTGACATTGTCCCTGCAATATATCACTGACATTGCCTCTGTAATATATCACTGGCATTGTCACGGTAATATATCACTGACATCGTCACTGTAATATATCACTGACATTGTCTCTGCAATATATCACTGGCATTGTCTCTGTAATGCATCACTGACATTGTGTCTGTAATATATCACTGACATTGTCTCTGTAATATATCACTGATATTGTCTATGTAATATATCACTGATATTGTCTATGTAATACATCACTGATATTGTCTCTGTAATATATCACTGACATTGTCGCTGTAATATATCACTGACATTTTCGCTGTAATATATCACTGACATTGTATTTGTAATATATCACTGACATTGTATCTTTATTATATCTCTGATGAAAAACAACCACGTTGATGCGATGGCTCAGTAGGATAGCGTTACACTGTTTATGTCATACCAATGATCAGTTTTAAACCATGTGATTATGTTTTGATACTTAATTTTCGAATATGTTATAATAAGCGAAAACCTATCTTATTATAGTTTGTTTTCGTTAGTGTGGTGGATATCATTGAAAGGAACAATATTCTTCGGAAATGTTTATCGTTCAACTATGAAAAGAAAAAAAGACACGAGATAAAATTTCAAGCTTTAATGGCAAGTATTTTTAAGAAAACAGAAACCATGAAAAAATATTGTAAGTAGCGGATCCAAGTCATTTAAAAAAATCTTTACTTGAAAACTACACCGGTAGAAATGACACTTAATAATACCATTATACTTGATTTTTCCTCACACACCTATAGCCAAAAGCCACAGACAAGAATGGTAACGTCATACTTTTACTTCATTATGGTATGAAACAGATTGCTACACAGTCCGGACCAGGTGCTTCGTGAATGTGAGAAACGGAAAAGGGAGTAATGCGTGTTCCTATCGCCCAGACTTGTGGGGATATGTCCAGTTCCATAGCACAGCCTTGAGGAAACATGTCTGTTTCCGCCGCCCAGACTTGTGGGAATATGTCCGTTTCCATGGCACAGATTTGTGGACACATGTCCGTTTTCGCCGCACAGACTTGTGGGAATATGTCCGGTTCCATCGCACAGATTTGTGGAAACGTGTCCGTCTCCGCCGCACATACTTAGGGAGTATGCATCTTTCCGCCGCACGGACTTGTGGGAGTATGTATGTTTCCGCCGCACAGACTTGTGGGAATATGTCCGATTACCGCACGTCCCGTTGATGGGATAACATAGAGCACATGTTTCAATGTCACATTATCTTTGCTGCCTCTTGTATTCTCTGACTAGCCTGCCAAGTTCCGTCACAGCCTCGTAGATCCCCTCTCCTGTCGGTGCGCATGCAGATTGCACATGCCACTTCCGGTTCCGCATTGAACGCAAATCCATGGAGTCGATGATTTCTGATGGTTTCATGGCATCTTAAAGGGAAAGAAAACAAGTCGTGTTGATACTCTGTCAATTTAAACAGTATTCCATTTTATAACTTGATTTGTATAACTACAATCGAATTATTGATGACAGATAAGAAAACAGGTTCGTGTTTATCATCTTGTTTTCTACTTTAATAAAGTAGCAATCTAGATAAATATGTGTTTTTAAAATCAATAGCTATTCAAGACGAATTGCGAATTATTATCTTTTAAAATGACTTACTAGGCATATCGCGTTTGTTGGCGATGACCACCACCGGACAGCTAGCGGACATATCCGGACTGTTCAGGATCCCAAACAACTCGTCCTTGGCCTCAGACATCCTCTGTACGTCAGAACTGTCTACCACGTACACTAGACCTGGGGAAGACAACCGCTTACATTGGTCTGTGTGTTCGTGTCTTTTTCTGTATATGATTCCCTAACAAACATTCAGATACTACTTTGACAGCTTGAACCACGATGATTTCAAATAGAGTATGGTACATAATATTTCCTCAGTGGTATAGCTACAGACCCTCAGATTTTAGAATTAATATGCAAAACAATTAATACTTGTGAATGTAGCGACTTTTTTCCGTTTTTGCACACGTCCAACTTACTACATTGGAGTGTAAAATACTGATATCGAAATTTCGTGTCACATACAGCGTACTAATTGTTTCTTCATTTTAACTATCAAAGTTTTTTCTAGCGTTTAACCTTGCTATTAGACGATGAGTCTAAATGGATACCGCCGGAGAGGAGATACATCAGCAGTGTTCTAGAGGGGAGAGAGATGGTCACAACCTGTGGTACGCGAGATACACGCGAGTTGTAATAGGAAGGGAGGCAACTCTGGTGGTTGTACAAACATTTTCCTAGACAATGGGACATAGGCCTACCTTCAGCTCCGGAATAGTAGTGTTTCCAGAGTTGTCTGATCCGGTCCTGACCGCCGACGTCCCATACTGTGAAGGTCACGCCTTTACATGGGGTCACGGTCTCCACGTTAAACCCAAGGGTCGGGATTGACGACACCACCTCGTTCAGCTTCAGTTTGTACAGAATGGTCGTCTTACCTGTTCGTACGATAATGGACACAATCAGCTATATACATTGTAGGTGTACGTCAGGTGAGAATGACCAGTGAGGGAAGGCCTGCACTGCCCACCGCAGGAGATACTTTAATAACTTATAACTACCCTAGTATATGATTTAGTTTTTTTTAAACTGTGTATAAATGATGGCATATCATGTGATTTAAAGTACACAAGTCGCATAAGAAAACACGTGGAGATAAAATTAAATTAAAAAAATCTCCGATCGGTTATGGTATCATAGAATTTGTATTTTTTACATAATATAAACTGTACTCGTTATAACGTTATAAAAAATGGGGGNNNGGGGGGGGACATCAAACTCGTGAGATACTATATACCAGAAAATAGTCATACTGTACCATCACTTTCAGGAATGTCAGATCACAGATTTTATCTATATATTATATAATGATTAATTTACTTGGTAAAATCTTCTTGATGTTGATATGATTTTATACTATAACACTACTATATCGTACAACGACGGAAACGTAAGCTGTCATTTGAATTCAATAACCGACAAGCGAAGAATGACCTACCTGCGTTGTCCAGACCAAGCATTATGATTTTAGACGGATCTTCCTCTCCAAATGATGCCAACGCATCGTACAGCTTTGTTAGCCACAGACCCATTGTGATTCCGTATTCCAGTTAGAATGATCTACCAGTGTATGATTGTAGTGCCAAGGCCTAACCTTTATATAGACCCGTGGCTCCGATGACATTATTTCACCAACGTGGTCGTGTTTACACCAAGGAACAGGTAGGGGATTCCACGTTGGAGAAAATGACGTCATTGAGGGAAGCCCCAGCAACAAACCCACGTGATATAAACATACACAGCAAAGCTCTTTATCAGCCATTGGTGTATTGCACGGTCACTGCGGCTTGTTCAACCTTTATTAAAAGGATATTAGTTATGATAATGTGAGATTAACAAACAGCCTGTACCTTCCGATCAATAGCAACACGACCCTGTGGTTTCATGTCACCTCTCTTTTACAAATGAGTGTATATATATATGGCAAACTGTTTAGTGTTCCGTCATAGGTCTAGTTATACAAAGTATGGTTAGATTACAATCTAACCATACTTTGTATAACTAGACCTATGACGGAGACTGATGTAATCTAACCATACTTTGTATAACTAGACCTATGACAGGACA